GTTTACACGGCACTACCCTATCGGCTATCCGGACAAGTTTTTGACCACCTATCTGTGCAAGTTTTTAACCTGCTACGAAAGCGTACTATACAAATATTCAATTGTCCGGTACCGTGTGAACGCTAATTGGAACAATATTTGTATGGATTCGTTCCAGTTTCCTGTTTAAATCTATGTTAACACGCCATTTAAAGCCATTTATAGTTTTGTTATAGTTTTGTGTCAGCACAGTTGTGTATAAATACAAGCGAAAAAGAGAAAATGTGAATCCTTTGAATAAAAATATATTGTTTGCATTTACTACAAACTATTTAATATGTCTATTAAGTATTTATTAGTTTTTCTTGTTAACTTTATTTTTTTCTTGGATAACTTGGGTTGTCTCGAAGCAGCTAGCTTGTTGTCAGGTTTGTTCGGCCACATTTGGAAAAGCGAAGCAGAAATGGTGCTTGTCAGGCGATGAGCGCGAAAACAAATTGCTGTAAACAAGGTTCCGAGCCACGAAAGAATTGATCCGTACCGTGTAAACGGAGAGTCAATGTGGACACATATTTGTATCAGTACAAAAATTTATCCGGAGAATATGTTGTCGAGTGCCGTGTAAACGGGGTCTATACATAGATATCTTGGGTCTATATCTTGATAGATAGACTCAATTGTAATTTTAAATCACCTTTCGGTGAAATTGGCTACCTGAATAAAGACTTGATATGTCAACTGAAGAAAAACACGATATCAACTCCCTTGTGACTTAATTATAGGGCGACAGTGCGTGTAAGATCTGCAAAGCAACTATATATCGATCTGTGGACGCCAAGTGATCAGCATGAGCTTCACCTTTGATTTTACTATATATGAGTAAATTCTTAAACACGTCCGAATTTAGCATTATGATAAATTCGCGGCCCATTTTGAATTTATCATAATGGTATATTCGCGGCACCTAACCCCTAACACTAACCCTAACCCCAACCCTACCCCTAACCACTAACCCCTAACCCTAATCTAACTTTTTTAACGTTTTTGAAAATCTAACTTTTTAAACTTTTTTTTGCTTTTTTAAACTTTTTTAAAACTTTTTTAAACTTTTTTTTTGAAAATCGTGATGTCCATTACCACAAACTATTGGACATCGGAGACCTCCTACGCTATAACTTGTTTAAAGTCACCCTTCAGCTATCTGGAATGGTCAGTGTGGTCATGTGGTGGAATGCAAAGTTACTTCCTCTTTGAAAGTTTACATAAAACCTAAAACTGTGCAATGCATGACTTCGGTTGCACTGTTAGGTTTAATCGATCTTTTATTAATATAACTGTTATAATGTAATTGTAATAGTGGGTGATCTAAACTGTAACTTATTAAAAAGTGGTCCAGAATCTGATGCGTTGAACGAATTGTGCAGCAGCTTGAATTTATTCCAACTTATCAAGAAACCAACTAGGGTGACTTTGCAGTCCTCATCTCTCATCGACGTGATTTTAACATCTAACACAAGCTTGGTAGTGGAAAGTGGAGTTGAAGAAACGCACATCAGTGACCACTTTCAGGTTTATTCAATATTAAAGCTTAAATTGCCTAAGAAATTACCTGATTACATGGTCATAAGAAGTTTTAAGAATTATTCTTCTGAAGCATTTAAAAATGATCTAGAACAGCTGATTTGGCAAGAAAATCCAATTGACCAGGGCGTTAACCAGCGACTGGACAATTTTAATCAGAAATTTCTAAGTGTATTAGATATGCATGCCCCGATAAAGACTGTTAAGATTAAACGTCGCTTGTGCCCTTTTGTTGACCAGGAAATTGTTCAACTTATGAAAAAAAGAAATGCGCTGCATAAACTTGCCCGCCAAACCCTGCAGGCCTTGGACTGGTACAGATATCGTTCATGTAGAAATCAAATTAAAAGAAAATTGAGAGAATCCGAGAGAAAATTTGTGTATAAAAGAATTAATGACAAAAATAGCAACAACAACTCCCTTTGGAAAACTGTAAGAGAATGTATTCCTAGAAATGAAAAGACACGTTTAACTTATTCTGGGAATGTCGTTGAAGTAGCGAACAAATTTAATGAATACTTTTCTTCAGTCGGAGCAAAAGCGGCAGAAGAATCCAAAGCGTTGATTACTTCATATGGTCTTACATCGACTCATCCAGAGATACCACATAAATTTAGTGCAGAAATTGACAAGTTTCATTTTCACCCTGTGTCCTGTGACGTGATTCGTAAAATTGTGTGTTCTTTTCCATCCAATAAGTCCCCTGGACCAGATAAAGTTTCTGTGAAAGTGATCAAAGATGCCTTACCATACATTCTTCAACCTCTTACGGATATTGTTAACTGCTCTTTAAGAGAATCTTTGTTTCCCAGCGCCTGGAAGTTGTCAGAAGTTATTCCCCTATTAAAAGAAGGGGATCACGAAATTGCTAAAAATAATCGGCCAATTTCCTTGCTACTTGCTGCATCAAAGATCTGCGAGCGTGTAGTTTTGGAACAATTTACCGCATATGTGGAACAGAAGAAATGCTTAAGCGTACACCAAAGTGGAAACAGGAAGCTGCACTCCACTGAAACATTGAATTTATTTATATCGGATAAGATCTTAAAGTCTATGGACGACAAGGAGGTCGTAGCTGTAATTCTACTTGACCTTTCTAAAGCATTTGACAGTATCGATCATGTATTGCTTCTAAAAAAGCTCCAAGTATTGGGAGTGTCCGATGACGCTTTATGTTGGTTTAAAAGTTACTTGACAGGACGACAGCAGGTTGTGCGCATTGGATCGACTGTCTCTGAAGCACGCACACTCAATCATGGCGTTCCGCAGGGCTCAATTCTCGGTCCCATGTTATTCAACATATATATTAATGATTTACCTATGGTACCAAAGAATGGTAATTTGAAGTATTACGTCGACGACTCGAAGCTACTTTTGTCATTTTCCGTCAATGAAGTGAACTCAGCGGCTGCTAAGCTTAACGAAGATCTACGGAGAGTCGTTTCTTGGTGTTCTCTAAATAGTCTGCTTATTAATCCCAATAAGACGAAATTACTTGTGTTCGCAACTCGTTATATGTTGAAACAGATACCGGCAGATTTCCATATTTTACTATTGGGGAAAAAACAGTTTCCTGTGACCTCAGCCACTGATCTAGGCGTGACACTGGATAGTGGTTTGACGTACGATGAACACTTCACAAAACTGGTTTCCTCTTGTGTCGGTAGCCTGTGTCAAATTAATAGAGCAAGGCACCTTTTTGATATGAAGACGTTAATTCTTTTAATAAACGCGTTGGTTTTTAGTAAACTCTATTACTGTTCAACCATATGGTCTAATTCATCGAAGAAAAACATTGCAAAATTGCAAAAAGTTCAGAATTTCGCAGCACGTATTGTCACGGGCACAAAAAAATTCGACCATATCACTCCATCTTTAAAACAGCTTAACTGGTTACCAGTCAATTATATGTTGCGATTCCGAGATACAGTAATGGCTTATAAATGTGTTAATGGTATGGCCCCATCATATTTATGTCGTATGTTCCAAACAAGATCACAATTACACAATTTGAACACAAGATCTAGCGAATTATTGGAAATACCTTTATATAGAACAGCGACCGGACAACGTTCTTTTCGCTACCGAGCTTCTTGTTTATGGAACAGTTTGCCAGAATGGCTAAAAGACCATAATCTTAATTTGGAACGTTTTAAAAGCGGGCTACGAAGTTATTTGGTTCAACAATTTCTCGATGAACAGAACTGAATTACATCTTTTACTGACTAAATTTTAAATTAAATAGTATTAATAAGTATTTTACCTTAAATATAACTAGCTTGATATTATATATTTTGGTGTTAATAGTATATTATATAGTTTTTAGAATATAATTTAATTAAGTAATTACTTTTTATAACTTCTGTATTGAACACTGAAAACCCCTTCTGGGAGTGTTTAACATTAATAATAATAATAATAATAATAATATTTGATATGCCGATTTCCGTTAATTTTAGACACATCCCAAAATACGCTTCCGATTTTGAACATTCATATCTCCGTGAATTTCTAAGTAAAATACAACTGTTATATATCAAAATCTAAGTTAGTCCTTCCTCTATTTAATGCAGTTATTTCTGTTTGATAGCTATACTTGTTTAGAAGTTATTTAAAATCAAACCGGAGTACTTTTTTTGGGACACCCGGTATATATAATCTTATAATCTTACCTTAATCTTATCTTTGTTAATCTTTCCGCGTCCTGTCAGCTTATCACATAACATGTTAATTAAATCGTGTGGTTTGTAAATAGGATTAAGTTTTTTAAAGTCTCATATCATCCACTTGAATACATATATAACCTTGTAAGTTTTAGTCTATAGTCATTAGGTGAATTTATCTGAAGAGTGCCACATCTTGTGGTACGAAGCTATTTAGTAATAAAGATGCCTAGTGGATTTTGTTGATTGTTTTACCTTAATTTAAATATACTCTGGTTTTCCATTGAGCGCTTTACCAAAAGTTTTTATAACCAACGAAACCAAATCTTAAATTAGCCTATATATATATATATATATATATATATATATATATATATATATATATATATATATATATATATATATATATATATATCTTATATCTGTTTCATTAGTAAAAATCATCAGGCAGTATGACAAGTTTCAAAAATAGGGCTGCTTAAATGTGTTTTTGCCAAAACATGGAGGTGGGTTAAACAAAGCATGCATTCAATCTATTGTATATGCGTTGTTTACGCGGAAATACCTAATCGAATTGCGGGAGTGTGTGGATTACTATGTATTGTTTGCATTGTTTACGCGAAATTTCTTCTTATATCTGCACGTAGATATAATTTCAATTCTTTTATTGAGTAAACAGTTTCGGTTTTATTATAAAATACAACATTTTTCCTCTAAACATAAATTATATCGTTTTGATCCTCCCGTATACGAAATAGCGCGTTTCAAACTTTGGCA